GGGGTCGGGAGACAGCTTCAGCAAATGTTCATGGGGCCCTTTGCCCTGCGGGGGGGGCGGGAAGAGGGGAAATGGGGTTCAAAGTCTGGAGGTGCCATTTGGCAGCACATCTGGGCACCCCACATCTGCTGGAGGGGTTAAAACGCCCCCCAAAGCTGTAAGAAGAGATGGGGGGACCCACAGCCCATCCTAACGGGGGCTTGAAAGGTTTTTGTCCGGGCGCTGCCCCCCCCCAGGTCAAGACCCACCTCCAAGCCCAGACGCTGGCGACTGTGGCCGTGGGCCACCAGCACAACCACGAGGTGAGCGGGGACGGGGTGGAAGGGTTGGGGGGGGACAGGATTTGGTGGCATCTTGGCCACGCACGCACTGGGACCCAGCGGGGATGATGCTATTTTGGCCACCGGGTATTTAAAGCTGCTGTTTGGCAGCTCGGCCCCGTATAGATGCTATAAATAACGGCACGAGGATGGGGAGGGGGTGACAGGGACACGGAGCTGTGACACCAGATCCAGACACCCCTTGGGGCTGGTGTCACCCGACCGGAGCCACAGTGGCTTCATGCCACCGACGAGCGATGGGGTTTTACATGCCGGGGTAGGAAATTTTGCCAGGGTGGGAAATTTTCTGGGGTGAGGTGCACCGTTCCCATTTTTCCCAACTGTCCTCTCTTCCCCAGAGCATCTCCGCAGCTTTTGAGAGCATCTACAAGCAGCACGGGGTGGCAGGGCTGTGGCGGGGGGTGACGGGCGCCGTGCCCCGCGTGGCGGTGGGCTCGGCCGCACAGCTCGCCACCTTCACCTCCGCCAAGGACTGGGTCTGCGAGCGCCAGGTGAGGAGGAGCGTCGCATCAAATCTGGCCACCGCCAGCCCCCGCGTTCCCCGTTTTTTGTTGGGTTTTTTTTGCGGGGGCAAGAGCTGACAGCCGGCGCTTCCCGCAGTGGTTCGGGGAGGGCAGCTGGGCCGCGGTGCTGGCGGGCGGCATGGTGAGTGGCGTGGCCGTGGCAGTGACAATGACGCCCTTCGATGTGATCAGCACCCGTCTCTACAACCAGCCGGTGGACGCCGACGGCACGGTAAGGCCATTCGGGAAAGAGGGGTGGGGGAGACACGGCTTTTCCTGGGATTGCATCCGGCAGGCGTGCGCAGCCGGCTCTTCTCTCCCCAGGGCAAGCTGTACCGGGGTTTTTTGGATTGCATCCTGCAAATCTCCAGCAAAGAGGGGCTGCTGGGCTTGTACAAGGGCATCGGCGCCGTCTACCTCCGCCTCGGCCCTCACACCGTCCTCAGCCTCTTCTTTTGGGACGAGCTCAGGAAGATGGTGCAGCACCAGCAGCCCCCAGGGCCGTAGGACGGGCTCCCGGACCCGCTGCGGCCTTAATAAAAGGGGTTTTTCTATTTTTGGCATCGTTTCGGGGTCTTTGGGGTGGTGCAAAGAGGGGTGTTGGGCACAGGGGGTTTCTTGCCTTGCAAAGCTGGGACCTGAAACGCCACGATGCATCGGGCTGGAGAGGACAACCGTGATGTCAGGGCGGGGGGATTAAAGCTGCTGGTGATCCCCGAGCCACTCCATGTGCATCCCATCACAGCATCCCACCCACCACCCTAATTTTCCCCTCTGTGGAGCAGCTGGAGCTCAGTTCCTCCATCCGGGGCTCCAGCTGCCCTCACTTGCCCCGGCAATGATTTACTAGCCAGGGAGGCCGCTCCCTGCTGCTGCCCCACGGACTTTGGAGCCGGGGCCTGGCTATGCCGCGGCTCCTCTCCACTGAAAATGTTTTCTCTGGGGTCCTGGCTGCCGGCGTTGCCCGGGCTGGCGTGGGGCTGGGCGCTGCTGGATGCCCTCCTGCAAGGTGAGAGCCCCCCAGGGTGGCATGGGGAAAGCCCAGGGACAGCCTGGGGGACACCAGTGACCCGCTGCTGCCTTTTCCCTCGCAGGGTTGGTGGGTGCCTGCGCCGTCTCGGTGCTCTGCAGCCTCCTGAAGGTTTATCTCTACATCCAGTGCCTGAAGTAAGCACCAGCCCTTCCTCCTCCGTGGGGGGATTTGTTCTGGGGAGCTGCTTCTGGGGTCCACTAGCAGGGGCGGCTCTCAGCACCCGTGGGTGCTGGCAGGTGGCCTGAGCAGGGCGGGGGGAGATCCCCGAGGCTGTCACCCCATTTTGGGCTGGTGGAGGAGGAAGAGGACACGCCATCCAGTTCAGCATCCCCCCTCGCTGTCCCCAGTGACCCGGAGAGGCAGGAGGAGAAGGAAGCGATCCGGGCGCAGCGGCGGGTGCTGGACCCGCTGCACGTGGTGGTGCTGACGGGTGTGTTGGCGCTGGTGGGCTCCCGTGTGGCCGCGCTGGTGGTGCTGGAGTTCTCCCTGCGTGCCGCATCCACCGTCCTCTCCCTCAGCAAGGTGAGAGATGGGATGGGGGAAACTGAGGCACAGCGGGGCAGCGGTGTGGAGGGAGCCGCGGAACCGTGTGTCCCTCGGGGATTTGCAACGACCACTGGGGCTCGAGGGGCCGTGGTGCGGAGGAGCCCACGTGTGGCTTTGCAGCCACGTGTCCCCTCGCTGTGTGCGACACCTGCGGGGTTGGGGGGGCTGCAGCACAGAGAAAGCCGGTTGTCGTGACCGTGCATCCCCCTGAAGCCTTGTAACACCCGCAGGGAGGTTGAAGGCTGTGGCATGCTTGAAATAATGCATCTCCCTGCTGCTTACAGCACCCCTGGGGTGTACGACAGCATGGGGTGGAGGAGCCTACGCATCCCCCCGCAACCCCTGCGGAGAGGATGAGGATGGGTGGCGTGGAGGGAACCCCTCATCGCTTTGCATGCGTGCGTGCCGTGGCAGCCCCTCGCTGCTCGCAGCACCCGTGGGGGTACGGGGAGGGCGCAGCACGGAGGAAGCCGCGCATCGCTTCGCAGCCACGCGTCCCTGCGCGGCTCGGCAACCTCCGCAGCGGCTGACGGTGCCGTCCCGCTCTCGCAGGGCGCCCACAGCAGCCAGCTCTACCTGCTGTGCCAGTACTCGCTGGGCTGCGGGGTGTCCTGCGGCCTCAGCTTCTTGCTGGAAGGGGCTCCTCATGGAACCTGCAACCTGGTGCTGGCGGCGGGGCTGGCGGGGCTGCTGGCTGCCTACGCCCGGCGCCTGGCTCATCACGTCTGCACCCTCTACGAGCTGCACAGCCGAGCACGTTACTGCGGCGTCTGCATCCTCCTCCTCGCCGCCGGTCACGGCATCCCCCGGCTGCTCCGGAATGCTTTGGCCATCACCTTTGCCGTGGCCGATCTGGCAGCCGTGGCGCTCATCAACCGGGATTTCCTCTCCACGGCAGAGGCCGTCCGCTTCTGGACACCGCTCACCATCTGCTACACGCTGCTGGTCATCTACATGCAAGGTCAGAAGGGGACCAAACCCCCAGTTATGTGGGTTTTTTAGGGGGTGAGGGGGTATGTCCCAGTATGGGGCATCCTGGGGCTGTATAGCGGAATGTGGGGTATCCTGGGGGGTGTATGGGGGGAGTGCATGGGGCACCCTCAAGGCACATGGAGCATCCTGGGGCTATATGGAGCTGTATGGGGCATTCTGGGGGTACATGGGATTGTATGGGAGTACAGGGGGTATTCTAGGGGTGTATGGAACTGTATGGAAGCACAGGGGGTATCTGGGGCTGTATAGGGGCACAGGGGGGCATCCTGGGGGGTGTATGGAACTGTATGGGGCATCCTGAGGCTATATAGGGGCACCTGGGGCTGTATAGGGGACATGGAGAATCCTGGGGGGTGTATGGGGCACCCTCAAGGCACATGGAGCATCCTGGGGCTATAGGGAGCTGTATGGAGCATGCTGAGGGTATGTGGAGTTGTGTGGGAGCACAGGGGCCATCCTGGGGGGTGTATGGAACTGTATGGGGCATCCTGGCGCTGCATAGGGCCTCAGTGGGGCATCTGGGGCTGTTTAGGGGCACAGGGGGCTACCTGGGGCTGTATAGGGTATATATGGGGCAGTACAGGACATCCTGGGGCTGTATGCAAAGCCACACTATAGCATCCCTAAAATCCATGGTGTCCCTGGGTGGCGGGGCCGGGGAGGGCACAGGGTCCCCCCACAGCAGCCACCCTGACACCGCGTCCTTGCAGAGGAGTCGCGGCAGAGCGCCAGCGGGCAGCTGGTTTACCAGACGGTGCTGGTACGGATGGGCGGCCTCTTCATCCTCCTCCTCACTGTTGGCCGTTGGACTGACATCCTCCACGTCTTCATCTCGCTGCTGGGAGAGCTCTGGTGCCTGCTCCACGCCGGCGTCATGCTGGAGGTGTGTCGGCGGCAGGTGAGAGGAGGGACCCACCGTCCCGATGCCGGGGTGAGGGGCTGGCGGCAGCCCCAAGGCCATGGTGAGGGGCCTTGCTGCTTCTCTCCTTCCATCTCCTGTAGGATTTCACCCAGCAGCCTCGGCCAGGCAGGCGGTTGGCATCGGGATCGGAGGAGACATCTTGATAAGCCGTGGGGTGTAACCGGGCATCAGAAACTCAGGGTGGCTTTGCCTGGCTCCCCAAAATACAGGTGCCCTCCAGATCCTCCTCATCGCAGATCCCCCATGGGGATGAAGGAAAAAGGGGTCCCAGAAGGTGCTCGACCCCATCCCATGGCATGGGGGAGGTTGGGGGGAGGCTCACGCGGCTCCTGGTTTTTGGGGGGACCCCATAACATTGTGGCACTGCTGGGGGTTTGCTCCCTAGTCCTGTCGGGGACACAGAATGCTGACAGATGTCCCCGTCCTCCGTGGCTGCAGGGCCACACTGTTACAGTGCAGGAGCCTCTGGGGTCTTGTAAATCTTGGAAAATAAAGGTTTTTTTCCAGCAAAGTCTGTGGGTGGAACAAGCTGGGGTCCTGTTGTGCCAGAGAGGGGCTCGGGGATGGCCACGGTGCAGCTTTTTGGAGGAGGTGGGCAGTGTGGTTCCTCCCTGGGAAGGGAAACCGAGGCACAGAGGGAGTGACCCTTCAGCTGGGAGGTGTTCCTGTGCCTCAGTTTCCCCATCTGGCTGCAGCCGGCCGTGCTGTGCCATAGGGCAACAAGCCCTGCGCAGGTGGGGTGCAGTTTGGGGAGGGAGGGAGGCCCCGGTGGTGGCTGCTTGCCTGGGCAAGGACACCCCACCCCCATTCCCCCCATCCCTGGGGGGGGAAGCAGGAGACAGTCTGGGAGAGTATGGGGTATCCTGGGGCTGTATGGGGGCACATGGGTGTCCTGAGGGGGTGTATAGAGGCAGTATGGGGCATTCTGGGGGTGTATGGAGCTCTAGGGGGCATCCTGGAGGTATAGGAGGCACAGAGGGGCATCTGGGGTGGTGTATGGGGCACCCAGGGGTTATGTGTGGGGCACCCTGCGGCTGTATGGGGGCTTAAGGGGCCACCTGAGGCTATACGGGAGTACACAGGCACCCTGAGGGTGTATGGGATGGTACTTGGGGCGACCTCCAGGCACATGGGGCACCCTGGGGGGTGTTGGGGCAATCGGGGGCGTCCGTGGGACAAGCTGGGGGGGGGGGG